ATAGTATGGTTTTCATATATTGTTTTAAATTTTCATTGTGACTCTTGTTTTTCAAAATATGGTGCAGAGTATCCTGAATTTCTGAAAAACATTTTGTTAGACTTTCACTAGGATAATATAGATAATTTTTGGTTTTTAAATATTCTCTGTGTTGTAAATATTTGTTTTTGCTAGGGTCTTTATCATATAAACACTGCTTGCATTTTTCACAACTTCTGTAAATTTTTTTCACCTTTCTTAATATGTAACCAGTGACATATTGCAATTGAGCAATTATGCGTGGGTCTCTTTTTTTAATTTTAAAATCTACAATTATATTTTCAATTACTATGTCATCATAATCAACTTCTGTATTTTTTTTTCTCTTTATTTTGATTTTCAAAAATCAAATCATCAAAACCGTTGAAAATTGTACAGAAATCATCTTTACAATTGGAGCCTGGTGAAGAATTATTACTCAAACTATTTATTAACAGTGAAGCAAAAGCAGCTTCAAACCCTGCACAAGTAGGTGAATTATTTCGTATTCCATGGCTGCGTATACTACCAAAAAAGTTTTCTAACGGGTCCTGATTCAGATGTCTGCACCAGAATGATTTTATATTATATTTACAAATTAATTCGTTTCTTAAAATAATCACGTTGTCAATGGTTTTTGCCCAATTATTTATTGATGGAACAGTACCAGTACTACCTTTTACTGTTATGAAGGTCATTGAGTTTAATATTATTTTTGCGTTTAGCCATATCTCTTGATGAGTTGATGTTGGTGTGACGTTTTTCAATAATTTTTTACCAGATCGGACATCTGAGTTTCTCATGCTGCCATTCATTGAATCAAATAAATTATCAAAAAATAATAATAGGTCTGCAGTATCTTTCGATTCTTCTGGAAGAATAGAGTTCTCTGCAAAGAAAAAACAAAAACATGTACTTTAAATATTAATGATGGTGTTGTAACAAAAAAGAACTACAAAAACCAGACTAGGTATATCAAGTATGACAAATTAATATCACTCTGTACTCAGTATCTAATTTAAATTAATAAGATGAAGCTGCTTACCAGCTAAATAGCCCATAGTTTTACCAACTGTTTGACTAAACAATTGCGCTGCATACTTCACCTTCATCTTAGGTATTTTTTCTTTATTGCAATGATTCTCTGTGAGATTTTTCATTATTTTAAGTCCTTTGTAAGTTGGATTGTTTTCATATAATTGCATAATATGTTCCCATTTGGCTACTGTTACTTTTCCCTCCATGACATATTTTAAATTTTTTGTTATTAAATTGTTCCTTATCCCTTTTAATAAATGTGGGACATCATATTATACTCTTTATTGCACTCAACATTTTACATAAAAACAAGTTAATAAATTTGTTACAAAGGTGGGCTTATCTCTAGAAGAGATCTCTTCCAGCCAACCTAGGAGTCGTGGGAGAGTAAGATGTAAGCGGGTGATAGAAGTGCAGTTAAATTATATTACGGTTGGAAAAAAAATATATATATAATAAATCAACAAAAATATATATATCAATACATAAAATATACACTACATATATACATACATATATAAGGTACGATGAAAGCTGTGTCATGAATACGAACATTGTTCCAGAAAGTAGTCTTTAAGTTTAAATTTGAAACACATGATGGAAGGGCAATCCTGAATATTCAAGGGAAGTCTGTTCCATAGTTGAACACCACGAACAGAAAAGGATTTGAGGCGGAAATTGGTATTACATTTAGGTAGCTCAAGAGATTTGGTGACGCAGGGACGCCTGGGATGGTAAGGAGGAGGAAGCTTCTGGAAACGGGAACTAAGGTATTGGGGTGAATTAGGATCTTTAAGGATTTTAAATAGTAATGAAAGGATGTGCATATCACGGCGAAGACGGATAGGAAGCCAGTTCAGTTGAGCACGAAAAGCAGAGACATGGTCGTATTTACGTAGTCCAAAAAAGAACCGAATTGCAAGATTCTGAAGACGCTCAAGCTTATTCAATTGATATTCATTCACATCTAGATAGCAAATGTCAGCATAGTCGAGAATGGGAAGCAGAAGAGATTGCGCCAGCATAATTTTGGTTTTAAAGGGAAGAAAAGATTGGAGTCGCTTGAGAGAGTGGCAAGAGTAGTGTATTCGTTTACTTACCTCAGCAATTTGCGGAGACCATGATAAAGTGCTATCCATAATCAAACCCAAGTTTTTTATCTTATCAACGAATGGAATTGGTATTCCATTGTATAAAATTTGAGGTGTACAATCCCACTCAAGTTTACTCTTCAGTCTACTACTACCGACAATCATGGCCTGGCACTTTTCTGGATTGACTAAGAGACCATACGAAGTAGCCCATTCCTGTATAGAAACAAGATCCCTATTTATAGAAGCGATGGTGTCCAGAGCATCGGGGATGGAAAAGTGTTTATAAATTTGGAGGTCATCTGCATAGAGATGAAAAAGAGAAGAAATAGCGGAAGAGATATTGTTTATGAATATGGAGAAGAGTAAAGGTGAGAGAACTAAAGGTGAGAAACCAATCAATCACAGGTGTGGAAATGTTAAGCGAACGGAGAACACCAAGCAGAATATCAAAGTCAACACAGTTAAATGCACTGCTGAAATCCAGTAGAACCATAGCAGTAAGTTTGGTATTGTCCATAGCAAAACGAATATCTTCCGTGATGTTCAGCAGTGCACCAATCGTGCTGTGTGCAGGGCGGAAACCAGATTGGTAAGGACATAATAAGGTATTAGATACAAGGAAATAGTAAAGTTGATGGTGAGCAATGGATTCAAGGAATTTAGATAGTATTGGAAGAATAGAAATAGGACGATATTGTGAAAGTGAGGATGGATTAGGAGTTTTAGGAAGAGGTATGACATGGGCTTTTTTCCATGATTCTGGAAAGACATTGTTTTCCAAAGAGAAATTTACAATGTGTGTGATAATTGGAACAATGTCCTCCAGAACAGGAAGTATCATGTCAAGACTAAGGCGATCACTCCCAATCGCCTTAGTAGAAATGGATTTGATACTCGTTGTGACATCTTCCTCAGAGACTATACTGAAAGAAAAGGGGGGAAGTTATGGGTGTTATCAATGCTGGACAATAAGGAGAGGGTGCTAGACTTCGTGGTCATATCTAGAGTTAGGGGAAGTGAAGTGAAGTGCTTATTGAGTGCATTAAGGTCGACGATACTCTGGCTCACAATCGCGGTCTTACCAACGCCTAGCGATCTTAAAAAAACCCCACAAGTGCTTCTGGTCTAAGTTTTCAATTTGGTCGTGAATATATTTGCGCTTAGCATCCCTACACATTCGATTACAAATATTGCGCAGCTTCTTGTAAACTTGCAAATGTTCTGTAGATGGTATTCTTTTTTGTCTACTTTTGGCCCGGTCTCGGTTAGCCATTACTTTTCGGATAGCTGGAGTTAACCATGGTGCGGGCACATGTTTGATGCGAACCGGGCGTACCGGAGCATGTACATCATAGATGTTCGTGAGAGTAGAAGTGAAGTAGTCTACCATAGCATCGACATTATTATTTAGTAGCACTGGTGACCAATCTATATTTCTTATGTCGTCTCTCAAGCGTTCCAGAACCATTTGCTTAAAGTTGCGTAGAAGACGTGTTCTAGGTTTAATTTTGGAAGGGCGCACTTTAAGCGACAGAAAAACTAAGTCATGATAGGAAAAAGGAGCAGTCAATTGTCCATGAGTACCCACCAGATCAGGATGCGATACAATCATAAGATCTAAAAGCGAAGGTTTACAGTTTGGGAAATAATGAGTGGGAGACGTCATTGGAAGCACGTGAAGATTAAGAGATAATAGGAGATGAACTAGTTTACTTGCCCTAGCATCTTGTTTCAACAGACATGTATTAAGATCACCCATGAGTTTGACGTGATCAAAAACAGGGACTAGGTTTTCGAGAATACTTTCCAAAGAGTTGAAGTAATCTATTTGATCATTGGGACTATACAAAGCCCCTAAAAGAAGTTTTTTGTGATGGACGATTACTTCCACGAAAATATATTCAATGGAGTTGGTGTAGTTAGACGGTGAGCAACTGATTACCTTGGCCGGTATGCGATCACGCAGATAAACACCTACGCCACCACCACCCATGCCAGTGCGATCATTGCGAAAAAACTTATACCCTGGAAGAGAACAACATGAAGAAGGGAGCGAAGGTTTTAACCAGGTTTCAGAGATAAGTATACAATCGACTACGCCGTTGCCAAAAGATGCAAGGAGATCGGTATGGTGTGCCAGAATACTTTGCGCATTGATATGCACGAAGGAGAGGAATTTTGAATTTTGACCAAACGTCTCTGATAGCTTGACGTCTAGCGGTTTGAAATCGGTCAAGGAAGAAACGCTACTGTTAGCACTCTCGTATTCATCAGACGAACTAGAAAAATAATCATCGTATAAAGCCATATTCAATAAATAAAATCAATAATAAATATAATATAATAAATAATACTAATAACTAAAAAAAAAAAAAAACTAAAACCAAAAAAAAATCATCTCACACGTGCCCAAGTTGACTAGAAAAAGACAACTCCATATACCATGGTAACATATTATAACATTTACAACATAACGAAGCAAGAGGAACATAAAGACATTTATACTTTAAACTAACAACAATACATTAAACATAAAAGCAGTGATTCGGATGGAAAGCAAAGGATTATTTAATACTACTTTCTAAACGTGGCTGTATGTCCTAACATTTCTTTGCCTTCCGTGTTAAAAAAGCGTTCAGTTTGATATGACAGTGACACTACTTGACTTTGACATCGCAAAAGCTTGTGAATACAAAACAAACAAATTACAGGGTAATCAACGGATGCAAATTCAATTGAAATTTATATATAAAAAAAATACTTTCTGAAATAATAACATACCGCCCAATTTGTAGTGATAACCCGGCAAAGTAACGGAGCACAAACAAAAGGATGATGAAATCAAAAAGTTCATCTTTTATTATCAGTAACTTCTGCTGACTGAACCGGGTACTTTAGAATAAGCTGTTGGAGTTCACTGTTAGAGAAGATCTTCCTTTTAGTGCCGTCTGACAGCAACACAATGATCGTGCCTTCAGTTGACCAACACTTTTTCCTTCCAAAGTGCTTGCGAGCTGCGACAAATATATCTTGCCTTGCCTTAGTCAGGAACTCAGATAGTGTTACATTGGAACCTTTCAGTTGAGTTTTCCTATTCCACACTGCCATGCGATGCTTCATTGTAGTGAAACGCACTAGAATGGGTTGAGATACATCTTTCTTTTTAGCACCAAGTCGATGACAAGTCTCAATTGTATCTGAACTCAATTCCACCATCTGCATTTGGTTGTTTAATACTGCACCAATCTTCGAGATTACAACTTCATCTTTATCTTCTCTGATTCCATGGAACAGCAGAACCTTTCTGCGTGAATGTGTGTCAAGATGATCAACACCCAAAGCCAGAAGTTCTATCTGTGATTTGATTATGCCGAGCGACTTCCAAACAAATGTTTTGAAAGAAGAAAAGTCTGCTGCCAATGATTTCACCGTTGTATTGGATTCTCGCATACCTGGTTGCTGAAGATTCTTTTCAAATTCAGACATCCTGTCTTCCGTCTATTTCAAAGATATGTTTGTTAAATTCTTTATTTTTTCTCAAATATTTTCTTCTAGTTTCATCAACTAGATAATTTATTGCACTTGTGTTTGACATTCCTTGGTCACACACTGTCGCTAGAACTCGTAATCCAATGGAATGCAAATTTTTAATTATTTCTTTAATTTGTACCGCCAAAACTTCTTTTGGGGTACTGCCAAAAAGAATAAGATACAGGAGTTTTGTAATTTTTACATATCCCTCTGATCATAAATACAAGAGCATGGTCTGCAATTTTTTTTGTAGATTTTCCAGTATGGTTGACAAAACCGGTTATTTTATCTTTTTTTCTATTATAATCAAAGTGCGGAGTGAGTGCCATTTCGTCAAACATCAGAGTGCATAATTTTTCATCTTCGGTCATAGCCTGTGTTTTTCTTTTTAATAATTTGAAAACATTCTCATTGATTCCAGGCTTAAGTGATGCCTTTGAAATTATTCGGGTTAGTGTTACTGGAGAAGGCAAAATGAATATTTTGCTCAAATATCTATAAGCCCTTGGTCCCATTTTATAAATACTTAGGGCCATGACTTTTTCTTCTTTAGTAAATCGTCGACCCATTTTTGTTTTTTTAATCTCTCTAAACTGCATCACTGTAAAAATAGCTGCCAACGTTTTAAATTTCTTAATAGCCGATTGAAATGCAGTGTTTGTAGCTAGTGTCAATGATTTTTTTAATTTTTGTTTGTACGAATCATTTTTACTTTTCAATTTCTCAATTTCACTTTCTAAATATTTCTGCTGTTTATCCATTTGAGAAAAATCTGAAAACAAATATAGCATAAGTGAATGCAAAATCTATCAAACATAATTAATTAAAACTATCGTAATATAATACAAGGAATAACTTTAGTAACAGAAATTAAACTTGCAACAAATATTCAGTTAGTATTTTGGCCTATTCGGCTGCTTTTGTTATATATTGTTATAATTTAATCGAGCTGGACATAATTCTAGTCAAAGCTTTCAGATAGACAGAAATTACAACTTACTTCTTTTTCTACAAGAGAAAAGTTGATCCATTTGTACTAAATTTTGGTTATCTTGGAGCTGGCTCTCCACATTAGAATGTGATGTACCACATAGAACATTGAGATTATGAACAGAATCAGAACTTTGTATTTCATTTGTCAAATCCTTTAAAGGTGGCCTTGTTATTGAAGAACCTGCAATTTTATTTTGGTTATGACCATAATTATATTAATGTATATTTAAATACTAATCATTAATATATCTATGATTAATATAAAATTTTAAGAATAATCTTGTTAATTATAAACATTTTGTAATTCTAACAGGTTTAAATACAAAGTACACACTTTTTGAATAATGATAAATAGGCAAAGTTTACCTAATAAATGAAGTCGAGGTATTGCATTAGCACTAAGAAATTTACTTCTTGTATGGTATTGAGTTTCAAAATGCATATGGCACACACGGCGGCTTTTGAAAATAGTCTTATTATCCAAAGCCAGAATAAGTCCTCCTATGTTATGAAGCCAGGTGCGAAAGCGTTCAGGATCCTTGTCAGGGTTCGGAAAATGAAGAACTTCATTTTGAGAACCTGAAATTTTTATATAAATTTTAATACCTAATTGATATTTATTTATGTTCTTATAAATGTGACTCTTTAGATCAAAGCATGTAGGTAGATAGAAAAAGAATTATATTAGTGGTATTCTAATACATATTCTTAAAATAACTTAAACAGTACTGACTCTAATAGCAAGGCAAATCTTTGATTACATACATACTTATCATATTTATAAAGGTAAATCTATACTATACTAATATTTTACCTATACCTTGTTTGTTTGTATATGGGTTTGTAATTTTCGGAAATACTGTTACGATCTTGAAAATACTTTAACTTTATAATAGTAACTTACCACAGTTTGGTATACAACATCTTTTTTCTGAAGTCATTGTAGAAAATCGGTGTCCAGTAAGCGTTGCCGGGTCTACAAAAATAACAGGTTCGTAAGGGTCCAATAGAAAGCACAGGTCAACTAAATAGTACAGAATCACAATAATCCGAATAACAAAGCCGAGTCGTAAGTTGAGATCACAGTTAGTTTGAGAAAGCATCCGATTCGAACCGAAAACGCAACGAGACGAAAACAGAATGTAAAACTTTTGAAACAAACTGTTTGTTTACGGTCGAACGTTCCTTTACATAGATAGAGAAAATTTTAAACCATCAAAATTTTATACTTTATTTAGAATCGTTACAACTTAAAAATAACGCTTTTAAATAAAAACAATACAATGATATCCTAAATAATAAATAAAGCTTAAGACATTTTTTCTCAAACATATTATAGTAACTGTAAGTGTAATTATTAATGCGTAAAATGATACACATCAGGGAACGCTTTTCAGCGAATGTTGCTACTAATATGTAGAAGTTATAATGAAATTGTAAATTTATTTATTTAATTTCTTTTAAAAGACAGTACAAATAAGTTAATAACAATATTTAAAATATATTTAGATAATATTAAAAAATTTATGTGTTGCCATATCGAGACCATTGAAACCATTAAGTCAAAATAACGCCATCTCTCGAGTAAAGATTAAGTTGAAGACTCATCTCCGTCTCCATACAAAATAGAAATATATGTACTGAAACGACCCTGGTCTCACGCCTATATCCCCGAAGAGGTAGACAGATATGTATTACTACACCCACATTTCGTCAACTATGTTTTTAGGTTCCACGTAATAGAGGCCGAGTCTATTGCCGTTACCGAGTACATTTTCCAGACTCCGTGCTGCTACTGAGTATTTCTTGACAGAAAACTCAATAACACTGCCCGACCCGCAAATCGAACCCGGGTCCTCTCGATCGCACGCGTGAACTTATGCCGCGGGACCGACGAGGTAGTCAATTCTCGGTTCGAGCAGTGTTATTGCACTTTTCTGTTAGATTCTCGTTTGCAGCATGGAGTATAGGCATGCTCCCGATACAGCAAGAGTAAGAGTTAGAGAGCAAGAGTTATTACGTAGAACAGAAACATGAACTCGCGAAATGTGGGTGCTATTGTATCTCGGCCTATCCTTTCGCGGATACGGGCGTGGAACAACATAGTTTCACTACCTACTTACCTATATAGATACATATATGTATACCTAGATATATATATATATATATATATATATATATATATATATATATATATATATATATATATATATATATATATATCTAGGTAAGTAGGTAGTGTAAAAAATATTAATATTCCGTTGTTTTTAGGTACCCAAGATTGTAAAATATAGATAGGTTTATAGGATTTGAAATAAACTACGAATTCACTAGACTCCGCTAGAAAGGGAACTGTTATTAAATATCATATATATAGAATCTACCAATATTATGCCAGCTTGTAATGGATAGGTACATAAACTAAAACTATGTAGGTTATAACCGATTTTAAAATTTATCCATCCGTAAAAAGCTATGTTGCTGGCATGTAGACTTTTGTAGATTAATTTCGTAAGCAATAAGATAGTCAAGTTTACTAAGTGTCTGTTATGAAATCTCGATAACAACCATTAACCACAGACCTGGAATCTAAGCTCCAAAACTGTTTTTAAATCAAGCTAAGTAAGTACCTACAGAACCTAGCTATATTTAAAGCAAAGTAAACATACATTTCCCTACAAAAAGCAAGTAAAACAAACATTAAAAGGAATCTAACCATGCGTTACAATTGTTAAAATTATAACCTCAAATCCAAAATAAATTTTTTAATTTATACATTTCTTAAAAGTGTCCGTTACTTGTAGTATATACATGTATTTAGACGTAAATACAGATACTTTAGAACACGAAAAGGCTTAGAGGTTCTTAGGCGAAAAATGTATCAGGGCTTAACATTGTCCTTTGCATATTGTATTGAATGGTTAGTATTAGTTTTAATCGATAATATGTCTAATTGGCCATGTTTAAATAGCGTTTTTGAGTTATTAAGAAAATTAGTTAACAACTAGTAACAATAACATTAAAATTAAAATATTACAATGAAACGCACAAAGTTTAAGACCGAAGTTAACGGAGCTAGAAAATATTTTACTCCCAGAAAAATATCATATTGCTATAATTTCAGAGAAAAACCTGGCTTACATAAACGATCGAGATGATTCGTATGGTGGAGTTGCGATTATAATCTATTAAGTCACAACTTAATAAAATATTTTTAATTAATATGGGTACTGAACTGCTGGTTTTTGGAAAATGCTGTAGCTTTATATTGTCCACCTAGGGTAAACATGTGATCAGAAGATTGTAAATGTTTATTTTCTAAATAGACACGTAAAACTATAATTGGAGATTTTAATGGCCATCACACAAATTGGTATATTAAAATGAATACGAGAGGTATACAAATATTTGATGCCGCCACTGATAACAACTATGTCTCTCTGAATACCGGCGAACCTACAAGAATAAAATTGGTGTCCAATATTTAGAAGAGCACGCCTGATATTACATTTGCTACTTCTGATATTGTGCTACACCTTTTATGGAATGTTAACAAGGAAAAATAAATAGCGAACATCTTATTATATCTATAAAAACGGTGATTACTGGCAAAAACAAAATAATAAAAAAACAGAATTATAAAAATGCAACTTGGCAAAAATATAAGGATATATATTAAGAAAGAAATAGACTAAAACAAAAGTACAAAAGATATCTATAATAAAATAGTGGAAATAATAAACTATGCTGCTGATGAATCAATCCCATATATCAAAATATGTAATGATCCAGCGAAAAATTTCGCTCCGAAACCATACTGGACACCACACTTATCTAACATAGTGGCAGAACGTAGGTCAAGGCTATGACAATTTAGAAAAAACCCAATATTAAATAATCTAAAAGAAAAGCTCGTACTGCATCCTTTCATCAATTTTGTCACTGTATAAATGAAGGAACGAGCAATCAATAAATGTGAAAAAAAGGAGATGGCTCAAGAGCTACCGAACTGCACAAAACATACATGCTTCTGAAACAACTAAAACCTGACCATGTTTTACCTCAGAATCCTCTTTTTCAGTCCAAAGACTACCAATTTGAAACTCCGGTAACAATACAGGAAATAAATAATACTTTAAAAAAGAAAGACACGGGACCTAGGATTGATAATATTTCTTATTCCATGATTTTTCATTTCGTTGATAAACAAGTTCTAGTTGATTTATTTAAAAGATGCCTACATCAGGGCATTGTCCCCTGGCAATGGAAAGAAATAAAAGTTGTCCCAATCCCAAAACAGGGCCGTGAATTTAACAATATATCAATCCTTAAGACCGATATCTTTAATATCCTGTCTATGTAAAATTTTTCATAACATTTTAACGAGACGTCTTAAATGGTATTTTGAAATTAAATTTATTATCTAAAAATACAACAGGCTTTAATTATCAACACAAGATTGTGTTTTTCTACACAATCTTGTGTTGATAATTTAACGAAGCTAGTAATGCAAGTACAAATGGGCTTTACAGATAAACAACAAACTATAGGTTGCTTTGTTGACAAAGAAAATGCATCCAACAATGTTAACATAATGAAGGCAGCATTGAAACTGAATCAAATGAGAGTGGGTAGTACAATATGCAAATATAATTTCATAAAAATAGACGCTAAATCATTGACAGTATAACATATGACACTCAGATAACCGGGAATACATGCCAAAGATTAGCTCAAGAAGACCCTATTTCTCCTATTATATTCAATTTAATTACTAGTCACATATTTAAACAAATTACTAATGTATTTATATCCCAGTATGCAGATGATTTTGTTTTATCCTCATCTATTTGAAATTAAAATTAATTAAAAATGATTTGTAAAAGGCACTAGATCGTCTAATTAATTTATTAAAAGAATTAGGCCTTGATTTATTACCGAGTAAAAGTAAGGTGTGCACATCTTCTAGAGATAGACGTCGACAAAAGGTCAACTTACACATTAACGACCAAAAACTAGAAAATATAGCTGTTGTTAAATACTCAGGACTTTGGTTAGACTCATGTTTAGGCAATCTGAGATGGGGAGAACATGTTAATGAGATTTGTGAAAAATCAAAAAAGGTTCTCAATGTCTTCCATGTATTGGCAGTGGTTTCTTGGGGAGTACATCCTATTAATTTAAAACATTTATATATCACTATTATTAGAAGTAGAATGGACTTTGCAAGTTTTCTTTTTGTCAATAGTGCTAAAACAAATATGGAAAACTGGACAAAATTCAAAACCTGGCCTTGAAAACAATCGGAGGCTTCATAAAAAGCACTCCAATACATGTAATGGAATCCGAACTATGTTTACCCCTTTTATTCATCAGACGAAGATATTTGGCAATTAAATTTTGGCTGAAGTCCAAATCCATACAAGGTAGTGAGACATTATTGTGTATACATAAATTAGCCACACAATGCAAACAGTCATCTTATTAGAACAATAAGAAGAAACCGTTGCTCGCACTTATAAACAATTAACTTCATAATTGTTGTAATATACATACATTCAAAAAATTTTAAATATTCTCGCTATCACATATAGATTTAAAGATTTCCGAAATTGAGGGTCCCAAAAAAACATAATACCTATCAGTTAACAAAAATCGTTACAAACTATCAGAGAAAAATATAATTCATTTTATAAAATTTACACAGATGGATCTAAGGACTACGACGGGTGTGGTATGACATTTTTTGATCCAAAACTCAATCTTACAGCAAAATTTACACTGAACAGCAAAACTTCCATAGTGGAAGCAGAGCTTTATGCAATCTGCGAAAGTTTGACATACAATATGTCTTATAAAGAAAATAATCATATTTAATAATATTACATTAACACCCAGTGACAGTGTTAGAAACTTGAGTATTTTAATTGATAAAAATCTC